TTGACTTATTGTAATAATTGTAAACATTCAGAAATAACAATAAAATTTCAAAAAGAATATTCAAAAAATATGAAAAGATGATTAATGATAGAGTTAATAGTGAAAAATCAGCAATTGAATTAGCAATATACTCAGAAATGATGATTTAAGAAACTAATTATTAACAGAAAATGGGTTTTACTAAAATTGAATAATTTATTTTAGAGTTACTTGGAAATGAAAATGAGTTAAAAAAATATAAAGAAGATGAGGGTAAGATCTAAGATAAGTTTAATGAGCTTTGGAAAGCAATAATAGAATAAGGCGAATAAAAGTAAGATGAAATATTTAGAGGGCATTGTGATGAATTGCTGAAAGTTCTTAAAGAAAATTTTAAAGAATATATTTTGGGTTAAAGCAATGAAGCTAATTAAATAGAATAATAGATATCAAGCTTAATTAAATAAAAACCATAATAAGAAGATTATTTAAAATCATTAGAAATATTAAAATTAGATTTATCGAGATGCCAATTTATAATCGCAGAAAAAAGAACATTAAATAAAGATTATTACATATTTTATGAAAATTTTAACTAAAACATAGAAAATAAATTAATGAAATGTTCATCTACATAAGTTTTATAAATCAATTAATTTTATTCTTAAAAAATAGAAATTCGATATATGATTAAAGAAGATTTTGAATAATATAAATAAAAAGATATGCATTTTGATATCCAATCCTACTATAGTTAAGCTGCCAATCTAGATAAATTTTAATTTATAACTTTTTTAAGAAATTTCTCTATATTTGGATATAAAATCGAAGAACAAAATGCAGAATCTTTATTTTCTTATATTGAGAGATAGTCTGAATGTGATTAAAATATGTTATCTTCCTGCTTTCTATCTGGATAAAGGTAATATTTTGGGGAGACTCAATATGATTCCTCAATTGATATTATCAACAGACAATGTAATCGCTTTAGAAATTATATTAAATAATAACAAATAATTATTGAATCAACCTAAAATAATGAAATAGAAAATAGCAGAAAAAAGTTTAATGAAAATAATTTTTTTATAGTATAAACTTAGGTATAAGTAATAGTAAATTAAAATATTGAACCCTAATTTAATACCGATGTGGATGTGGTCAATATTTTAAGTTTTATCTTGAATCAAAATTTATATTCTTAATTTTAAGGTAATTTTAGACTAGGTGTTGCTGAATTTATTCAATAGTTAATGATTCTTAAAAACTATGAAGGATGGAAAAAAATATATAATGA